AATAACTGTTAGAGAGTTTTTGGGGAAAAAGGAACCCACATACACTGCTGGTGAGAATGAAAATTGGCACAGCCACTATGGAACAGTATGAAGATTCCTCAAAAAACTAAGACTTGCATTACCATATGATCTAGGAATCCCTCTTCTGGGTATTTACTCAAAAAACCTGAAAACATTTATCCACAAAGGTATATGCAGCACTCCAAGGTTCATAGCAGCATTATTCACAGTGCCCAGGACATGGAAGCAGCTGAAGTATCTTATGATAGATGATTGGATAAAGATGTGGTACATATATACAATGGAATATTAGCCGTAGAAAAAGATGTAATACTGCCATTTGCGATAAAATGGATGAATCTTGAGATAATCATGCTAAGCAAAATAAGACAAAAGTTGAAAACCACATGGTGTCATTCACATGTGGGATATAAAACTGAAAGCAACAAACAATCATGACTAACCAACAGAGACTCATGGACATGGATAGTGGATTAGTGGTTACCAGAGGGAAGAGGGGAAGGGAGAGGTAGATGGGGTAACATCTACCCCAGAAGGAAATCTAATTTTGGGTGGTGAATAATCAATGCAATATATTTGACTTACTGTTGAATGATACACTTGAAACTTATGTGATTTTGTTAGTCAATGACACCCCAATAATTTTTAATAAGAAATAAATAAAATAAAATTTAACTTTATATGACATTCTACCCCATGTACCCTAAGGCATTGAAAGGAATGTTTTACATAAATCACTATAAATACTTATAAAATGAACACATTAAATAAAGCTAAGGTTACCATTTTATAGTTGAAATTTAGTATTAAACTGAAATTTCAAAGTAAATTTAGAACTAATATTTATCTATAAATAAGTTACTATTTATACTTCCGGTAACTATTGAAAGGCATCAATATCTAGATATTAAGAAAAAAATGAGTAGTTCAAAATTGACAGAACCCTGAAAGATCTGTTGTGTTTGTGTGAAGTGAACTGCTCAATACTTACCTGAGAATGTGATAATGACCCCTGGTGCTTGTGAATTCACATTTGAATCTCTAGACTCTTCAGAGATTTATCCCCCAAAGTAAACAATAATGAAAGACAGCATGGAAACTATATAACAACAATGACTTTGAATTATTTGCTGTAAGGTGAATGAATACTTATTTTCAAGGGGTAAGATTTTGGCCTTTGTGAGTAATCTGATGTGATGATTTTTTACCATTTGAAAACACTGTATTCTTTAAATCTGTACTGTACTCATAGCCATAGTAGAGAAATGACAATAGAATCCAACAGTCAGATAGCAAGTAATCTCAGCGGAATTAATCTAAGTTTCTACAGTCTATTTAGTAGGATAAACAGGCATAATTCAAGGTTTCGTGGTTGTTTATTTAACCACCCGTAAGATCGGAAACTCACATGGTCTTTCAGGCTATCTAAACTAGCCACTCAACCATAATGCTAATAAATTCACTAGCTTTGTGATGCTTTCGGGATTTATTTTTAACATATTGTTTTGAATGCTGAGCTTGCAGGCAACCAGATACTTTTGACAAAGTCGAGACTATGCAGCCAGAAATCTTGGAAATTGGATTCCACGTGGCCATGAGCTAGATAAACTTCTGAACATGTTAAGGCTGTATCTTTATTTAGCTGTATTTTATGTAGAAACTAAAATTTTTTCATTCTATAACACTCTAATTATAAAAGATTGTTACACTAGCAAATGATTTGAATTGTTTAAATAACTATACTTTAATAAAGTTCTAGATATTAAACATAGAATGTTTTATAGTATTTAGGTTTACAGATCAGACTACTTGATAAAACAGTATTTTAATTGTAAATGTTAAATATACATAGTAAATTTTCAGCAGGTATCTATTCATGATCTCAATTTGAAATTCTTATTTCTTCTTTATCCTATTAAGAAAATTGTACTTCTCCTTTTAAAAAAATGATCATGTTTTACTGATGGAAATTATAAACTTTCTAATTAACTAGGCTCTTCTTTTATACACTAGGTAATTTGTTATCCACCCATTTCTGAAAGACTCAACTTCATCAAGAGTATTATTTAATTTCATTTATAGTATAGTAACTTTAAAAAAGTGAAATGGATTCTAACTTCCTGAGATTCACAACTTGATTGTACCACTTGCTATATAAATTTAGGTAAGTTACTTAACAATGTCAAATCAGTTTCTTTATCTAAAATCCTCAATATTATTTCATGGATATTAATACAGAACTATATGTCTAACCTTCTTAACCCTGTGCTTACCATTTAGTAAATTTTCAATAATTATTAGCTATTACTCAAGTATCTATTATTTAATACAAAATTTATACATTTATCTTTTCTGTTACAGTGACCATTTCAATTTGGTATTTTCATAAATATGTTTTTTAATGTTTAGATTTAAAGCCACTTTAGGTACATTTTAAATTGATAATATAAAGAGAAAAAGATCTACATTATTCAAAGCTTGTCCTCTAGTGCTTCTGCTAAAAATAATTTTAAAAATATACAAGACTCATTATCCATAAATATAAACTCTGGACTTAAAGTGAAAAAAAAAATTTTATACTTAGCTTGAATAATTATTTTGTTTATAATAACCTCTGTGTGTATCAAGAAAAATTAAACCATCGAATTTACAACTTTCTTAATGTAATATTTCACCACAGGTTCTCTGGTAGCAGCTACCTCATGGATTCCCCAAGGGATGGGAACCACACAGCAGTAAAAGATTTCACTTTACTTGGCTTAACTGACAACCTAATCCTTCAAGTCATACTCTTTATGACCATCCTATGTATCTATCTGGTGACTATATCTGGCAATCTCAGCACAATCATTCTTATCAGAATCTCTTCTCAGCTCCATCATCCTATGTATTTCTTTCTGAGCCACTTGGCTTTTGTGGACATATGCCTTTCAACTTCTGTCACACCCAATATGCTTATAAATTTCCTGGTGGAGAGAAATACAATCTCCTATTATGGATGTGGCATGCAGCTGGGTTCAGCTACTTTCTTTGGTGCAGTTGACTGCTTCCTGCTGGCTATCATGGCATACGATCGCTTCGTGGCAATCTGCAACCCACTGCTTTATTCCACCAAAATGTCCACACAAGTGTGTGTTCAATTTCTCACAGTGGCTTATGTAGGTGGTTTTATTAATGCTTCCTCTTTTACTATTTCTTTCTATTTTTTAATCTTCTGTGGACCAAATCAAGTCAATCACTTTTTCTGTGATTTTGCTCCTTTAGTTGAACTGTCTTGTTCTGATAGCCGCATCCCCACAGTTGTCTCCTCAATTGTTGCTGGCTTCATCATTGTGGTCACAGTGTTTGTCATAGCCACCTCTTATATCTACATCCTCATCACCATCCTGAAGATGCGCTCCAATGAGGGGCGTCACAAGGCCTTCTCCACCTGCACTGCCCACCTCACAGTAGTCATTTTGTTATATGGGACCATCACACTCATTTATGTGATGCCCAAGTCTAGCTACTCAACTGACCAGAACAAGGTGGTGTCTGTGTTCTACATGGTGGTGATTCCCATGCTGAACCCCATCATCTACAGCCTCAGGAACAATGAGATTAAGGGAGCTCTGAAGCAAGTGCTTGTCAAAAAAATATTTTCTTAGTAAAACCTGTTATTTTGTAGAAATTGATATGATACTATACCATAAATATAATAATAAGAGAAAGTTGACTGTGGTCAAAATATATCAGTAATTAGCCGGGGTGGATAGGGGGTGGATTTTCTGATATCAAATAGTAAATCAGAGGCATATAGTTAACTCTAATAAAACTAACCTAAATTTATAATTAGAAACACAAATTACTTAACAAAAAAAAATACTTAATCTGCTGATCATTCACTTAAAATTTTTAATTTTTTCAAAAGTTTTTCTCTATCATAAAGTTATTGTACCTCCATACTTTAATACTGCAGCTTCTTTCAACAGCAGCAGCTTATCCTAAAATGAGCATTATAATTATAGTTACGACAATATATTCTGAACAGAAATGACCCATAAGAACCACACAGTAAAATTACTGAAGACATTCTTCTTGCAGGAAGGATATTTGCTAGGGTTGGGATTTGTGGACCCATAAATTCTGAGCTGTGCTCCTGATCTCTGGCTCAAGTTTAACTATCGGAGACCATTTTAAAGAGCAAGATGAGATGCCTCTGACTAATCTGTGAATTCTTCTGTCAGGTCAAACAGTGACTTCTCTGAGGGTTTCTGATATCCTCAGAGACTGAGCAAACAAGCTCTTGGAGTGACTGGTTCATGGTCAGGTTTGTATCCTGTTGAGCAAGCTTGAGGGAACAAGATCATGTTTCCCTTTGAAGTTGAACATTGACAGCTACCATATTTATGTCTCTTTCTCTATTTTCTGTTTAGTATTTAGATTAAAATATTATTTTGTCCATTGAATTTCCAACACAAATTGCCTAAAACTAAACTAATTACCTCTTTCAACTCCCAACTTCCTTTCCTCCAATGTTTCAATCCAAATAAAAGGCACCATTACTCAATTTATTGATTCAGAATCCTGACAGTAATTTCTTTCATCACTTCCACATGTCCACATTAAATGACAAAGTTTTGTGCATTCTGCATCCAATGTTTATTCTCCACTTACCTTCATTTTAATTGTCAGCCATTCTATTTCAAGCTACTACCTCATACATTTACTTTGCAGTAGTACTCATCTGATAGTAAATTTTATGTGTGAAGTTGGCTAGCTAGACTATGGTGACTGGCTGTTTGATCTAATACAAGTGTAGATTTTGCTGTGTGAGTATTTTTCAGTTGTGATTAACACTTAAATCAATAGGCTTTGAGTGAAGTGGAATACCCTCCACAATGTGAGTGGCCCTCATTAAATCATTTAAAACCCTTAAGGAAAAACACCGAGGTCCCCTGCAAAAGATTCTATCTCCTGGCTACCTTAGAAGCCAACACTGCAACATCAACTCTTACTGAAATTTTTATTCTGCTGAACTGCCTTTGGATTTTGTAATTGCTAGCTCCCACAACTGTCTAAGCCAGTTCCCTAAAATCAATCAATCAATCCTCTCCCTCCCTCTCTCCCTCTCTCTCACTTTCTCATTCTCTCTCTCCTATTCATTCTGTTTCACTGGAGAATCCTAATACAAACCTAATCCATTTTTCTTCTCCTTTGTACTCTGTTCCCATCATTATCCATACATCCACCAAAACCATAAATCTATAGATTAGTTCCTTCTTTAATATCCCTCCAACTATCTTAGAATAAAGAAAGAATTCTTAACATAGCTTACAAAGTCTTGACCATGGGCCCTGTTTTTTTTGCCTCTCACCATTTTTTTTTTTTGATCTCTAAACATACAAACTCTAAGAATAAAGCATTTGGTCTTCTTTTAAATCCTTAAATATATCCATATACTTTACCACATCAGGATATTCTAAAATGCAATAGCTCTTCCTGAAATGCATATTTCTCCTTACCTGGGTAATGCCTACTTATGCTATAGGTACCAATCTAAATGCTGTTTTTTATCCCCTGGAAAGTCTTATTGAGGCTGCAGACAAAATTAAGTACAACTGTTATCCCCCTGTAGAACCCTGCATATTTTCTTCAAAATACTCTGGACTTGCAGTTAAAGATTCAGTATTTACTCCACAATGATGGAAGCTTCATATAGATGACTACGATGTGTTTCCTTTTTCTCCATGCATTTATTTTCACACAGTTCCTGGAACATAGTAAGTATAAACGCTTAGTTGAAATGAATAAAAGAAACAATTAATAAATAAATGAATGAATAGCTGAATGAAACTTTTGCTCTGGCATGAACCAGTGACTCTGCTGGCTTTGAATCCTGGCCACTGATCTAAACCTCACATCTTATATGAGAATTTACTTAAAATTCATCATGGATTTAAATGTAAAAGGTAGAATGATAAACTACGAATCTATAGGAAAAAATAAGAGAAAATAGTCAAGATTTAGGGCTAAGTAGTTTTTAGAACAGACACTAAAATTAAAATCCATAAACAGAAAGAATTGTGCCACTACTATCATGAAAATACTATTCCAAAACATGTTTCAATTTGTTTGCTGCACGCATATTTGTATATACACATACATGCATATACACAACACATATGTTTAAAAATATTTTAAAATGGTTACCTTTTTGTACTAGAAAAAATGGTGATGGTGATATCAGGATATATCAAGTGATTAGTTAACACTTTAATTGCTTTGTACCCAAAGTGATGATTTTTATTGAAAGTTCTCTACTTTATCCATTTTTATATTATCAACAACCTATAATTTTTTAAATGTTCAAAGTTACCTTTATTTACCACCTGGAAGATAATCCTGCATTGTCTAGTACCATCCTTAGGAGTATCTGCATTTCTTTGTTTCTTAGACTGTAAGCTATGAGCTTAAGCAGAGGTGTCAGTACTGTATATGGCATAGCCATCAGCATATCTTTAAGGGATGAGTCACTGTTGTTGGGCCTCAAAAAACTAGAGCCCCAAATCGATAGTGTATGTACCACTATACAGAGATGAGTAGAGCAAGCTGAGGAGGGCTTATACCCCACCCCTTTGCAGAGGGTATCCTTATAACCATGGACGAAATAAGAAATTGAGAAGACAGAAGAAATCATACTGAAGATAAAGTTGCCCACCAACAGAAAGGCAGAGAGCACACACACACACACACACACACACACACAAAAACCATTAGATGATGGAAAGAATGATCACAAGCAAGGCAGACCACAGGGGAAATGTAAACCTTCAGAAGACATTTATGCTGTTGAAACCACAGAAAACAATTTGAATACAATGAGGATGATGCACAGAGAGATCAGGAACCCAGCTGTCCAAATGGTCCTCCTGAGCTAAAAGGAGATTCTGTGAGCCATGAGCATGGTTTAGTGCAGCAGGTTGTGAATGGCAGTGTACTGGTCATAGGACATGGCAGCCATGATGAAGCAGTTATCACCTGCCAAGCCAAAGAAGAAAAACATCTGTATGGCTCACGCAGGAAGAAAAATGGTCTTGCTGTCTGATAGCAAGTCCGCTAATATTCAGTGGTACAAGTTTCTGAAAAGGACAAGCTAGATAGGAAAACGTACATGGGGTATAAAGGTTGTGACTGAACTCAATGCCCACCATTATGGACATATTTGCAACTAGCATGGTCACATGGCAGAAGAAAATCATTACAAAAGTAGACTCTGCAGTTCTGAGAAACAGGAGATACCCCACAGAAGGAATGTGCTCACCGTGGTATGATTGCTCATCTGCCTGATGCCTGCAGGAACTTTCTTTCAGTGGTGCAGGGGTTCTCAAGATTAAGACTAATATGATTCTAAAAAGATCCTTATGCACTGATGTCACCTAGACTTTAATCAAGGAACCTGGGTAAATTTAAAGCAACTCTTATGGGAAAGCAAATGCACCTGACTGAAGTCAAGTTCAGGAGTCAGAGTAATGAAAATGATTGTAGTATGAAAATCTATATAAATGACATAGAGTGAGCATAAATATCTTCTTGGATTATAGTCACAAGAGAACTCTTAACTCTTTTCCAGTGAGGACCTTCACATAAGCAGGAAAATATGAATAAAATTGCTTTGTTCTGACCCACTGGATTTTGCAATGCTACATATTTCAAATACTTTTTGAAATCTAATGGTACTATGGTACTCAGAAGTACTTAATAAACTACTGATTGAATGATTAAATAATTTAATTTGAAACAAATATTTTTAAAATTTTAGGAAGATCAGCGAAATTTTCCAAAAGAACTTTGACTTTTTCAGTGCAATTCTTCTTTTCTCAGTGCACCACCCTGAAGTGGCTCCAAAGGTGGTAATTGTCACAATGACTAAACCCCATAAATGAATTTAATATGTTGTACTTTCTACTGGTTTCCTAGCCATAGTAACAACTGAAGCCTGAGATATACAATATCATTAGGTCTTAATATATATCAATAATTTTTAAGTTCTTGAGAACTTCTTTTGATGTTCTTTTCAAGATGTGTAACATGAGAAGTTAATGTCTCATTTTAGAATGGCATATTCTGGTCATAATTTCTAATCCACCATGTTTTTTTTTAAACCTTCAGGACATTTTCTAGCAGTTACACTTTTTATGTGGTTTGCTTTGAAGTCCAGAACTGCGTAGATAAACCCACATTCCTCAGGTCAACTTGGTAAATCATATTGCTATTCTGATTATTCATTAAACCAATCTTGCAGGAGTGAGGGCAGAAAAGTGATATGAAGACACTGCATAGAATTTTAATCTTAACACGGTCACTGTTAAAGGTGAAGGGACAGAAAAGTAGTAAGGAATCTGTGGTGGAAAAGGAAAGAGTATGCTAGAAAAAAAGAGAGAAACACTAGGCGGAAATTTTTCTGTAGGATGCACAAAAATTCAAGACATAAGAAGACAGAAAACAAATATATTATTAGTTGAAGAGTTGCTGTTTTCTGTTTACATTGTAGTTATGTGCCAAGAACACAAAAAGAGTTAAGCCAGGTAATTAGCACCTAGGTAATACCTAAAATGTTGCTGACGTATGTTGGGGTTAGACAGAGCTGTCTCATACAATCTTTATG